AAGATCGACAGATTTATCATCTTTGGATTTCTTTATGTGGCGTCATTTAAAAAGCAAAATCTATGCTACTCAGCCAACACCATTAGAAGACCTGCGAGAAAGAATTGTGGATGAGTGCCTTCAAATTACTCCTCAAATATTGCAAAATGTGCGGCAACGTTTTGAGCAAAAACTTTATTATTGCATGGAGAGTCATGGCGGCCATTTTCAACATTTATTTGCCTAACGGGTCAGTTCGTTCTTCATTTTTAAATTACTTTGCTGCCAAATGTATTGATCTCCACTAATGGTGATGAATTAGTTTTATTTAAGCTTTAAATCAATAAATCTTCAAAACTGCTGAACTGAAGTACATTAATTTTATATCATTATAGAGGGAATTGAAAGACCTTTAAAATAAGTATCACTCGACCTCCCTTTCCATTTAAGATTTTGGTGGTGGTGTCACCCCCGCTGCTAACGTGATTTTTTGCCAAACTTGTTTCCCCCTCGAAAACAAAATCGACGGGTCTGACCGTTTTTCAAAAAAAAACTGAGCTGCCAGTAAATGCGTGTTTCGTTTTCGATGCGCCACCCTGTATGTTACTAACAGTATGTAGGCATGAGCAAGAGGAAACATGGTTTGTTTCCTTTATTGTTAAATTTAGATCAGACTCATGTGATTTTAAAGGGCCAAATTCCTACGATCTTACTACAAAATGACCTAAATAGTTGCTTATATCCTTTTTTATTAGTAATAAATGCCGCATCGACCTAATATTGACTTCTAAATTACTTTGGTTTTATATTCCCCACTTTGGGAAATAGACAAACGCTTGAAAGTAAATATAACCTGTTTTAATTTGGCCATGCAATCTTTTTATCCTATTGTGTGGTTGAATTAACGTAGTTATAACTTAAAATGTTTGTTGGGCAGGTAAGGTAAGGTGGGGTAAGTGCTGCCCAAAAAATTAAAAGTTCAAAATCGAGATCACAGAACAAATACTTAAAATGTTTTATGGATGATGCATTTTAACCAGAGAGGCCTATAGTGTTCTCTACAAAACTGAATATTTTAGATTGAATTGGAAAATTTACAATTTACCAAAAATGTTGTTTTTTTATTAGGATGACAATTGCTGCTCTTGCCCCATACAGTCGGGGCAAGAGCGTAAAATCCATTCCTGTAGTTAGTTTTCCTACGAAATCAAAACGAGACAAGAGCAATCATCTTTATATTATGGATAATTGGTTAGACACGAAAAATAAATGTTATCCTGGTCAGAAGTTGAGTGATGATCTTAGAAAGGGACTGATACCTTTTTGAAATGATACAAAAATACATTATCGATGCATAACACTCTTGTTTTTATTTAAGTAATAAGAATTTATCGTCACTTATGTATTTAAATTGCCAAAGTAACAAACAGTTTTACATTACGTATAAATCCCAGCTTTAACAAAACCACTTCGAAGTATTTCAGGATTTGTTTCTCTCCATATATCTCCAATAAGTTTTGAAAAAATATTCTTCGGCATCTTAATACCCACGTTCTTACGCTGCCATTCTACTAGTTTAGTTTTTAGGGATTTGGAAACACTTAAATCAAGTGGTTGTAAAATATAACTGGTAGATATGTGGGGGAAGTTTTAAAATTGTTATCTGGTTGTCGATAGCAATTCTAACAACTTCTACACTTAAATGAGTCGCATGACCATCGTAAATTACTAAGACTGGTCTTTCTGGAGGCAAACACTTAACGAAACTTTTTTCAAAATAGTTTTTAAAAACTGTGCTTTCCATCCATCCGTTGGCGGTTGCTGCATATGTCATTTCGGGAAACTCGCTACCAGGGGGTGCAAGCCACTGATCCCAGACGTGCTTGCCCTTGAAAATTATTAAGGGAGGCGCCTTTTCTCCGCTTGCGCTGCAGCACATTAAGACAGTGGTATTCTGTTTTCCAGGCCCACTTGTTGTCCGTGTAGCTGGCAGTCCCCGTTGTCCAACGATTTTCGTTTTTGAAGGGTCTGAGCAAAAACTGCTCTCATCTAAGTTCCATATCTGAGATGGTTTATCCTCTAATCCAAGTTCTTTGATTGTATTTTCTAATAAATCGAAGTACTGGTAGACTAAAAACGGAACAACATTCTTTTTTCGGGCAAATTCGACGCTTTGAGGTGTTTTAATAGAAAGCTTGTGACGACGTTTAAAATTTAAAAACCAGTCTTCACCTGGTTTGTCATTTTTAAACTGCGTTTTAATTTTATTCGTTTTAACGTAATCTTCCACTATCCCGAGCAATTCCTTTCTGGTTAGACCGAATCCCCACTTCTCCATACAGCGGATACAATCTGCCAGACACGTCTCCTCTTCAAAACTGAGATCTGTCCTTCTACCATAGGTTGAACTTTTCTGACCTCTGCGCCCTTTTACATGGTCCGAAAGTGTATTTTTTGGAATATGATACATCAAGCTAGCTCTGTAAATACTCATTTGTCCACTCTTTACAATGTTTACAGCAGTCCTTAGATCTTCTTTTGAATATCCGTATCCTCTCTGAGATTTGCGAATATAATTGCGAACCATAATTTAATTCTGAAACAGAGGGAATATTTCAAAAATGCTGTTGGGGCAAGTGCGTTTTATAGACTGCACTTGCCCCTTTAAAATAGGCCGCTCTAGCCCCTGTATAAAAAAATCTCAGGGCAAGTGCAGCCTATCAACAAAAACTTGTTTTATTGAAAATAAAAGCAAAAATATCGTTATCACTAGGAAAATGATAGAACAATAAGTGTACTTACCATAAATCAAAACTGTAACTCAAAAGATGGCCTTGATATTGACGGATGTATTAAACGTAACCTACTTGTTGCTGGACAATAATGGCGAATAAAATTTCGCGTGTTTGTCATGAACATAATACCGGTCGCTGATCTCTTCTGTTATTTTACAAAGTTGAGATAAATTGGGTAGATGAACGATCCATAGATGGTAGCACAACTGACTGATATCCTGGAAATTTAAACGCAAAAGCTGCACTTGCCCCGTAAATGCTCTTACCCCACCTTACCTTAAATGGAAAAATTGTAAAAAGGCGTACAAAACACACAGAAAATGGATCCCAGTTAAGTTTCCTAAAAATTCAGTATCATATATTTCCCGCCTTCCTGAACAAAAGTTCTAATGGACCAAAGCACATCTATGACAAGTTTCTGAGAAATAGGGAGATAGATGGTTTTACTTATTTGGAAAAATGGTGAAAGCGTCAATTGTAGTTCTCAAACGGAAACTCTAAAAATTGTTATTCAAAAGAAATATTTCATTGAAAACTCTTGTAAGAAGCTGTTGGGGAGTGTCATGTTGACTCTGACCATGATCCTTAAAAGATGGACTTTTAAAAAATGCAAATGCAGCACTTGTACTCGAAGATTGCTTGACAGTCTACGTCGGCGCTTGGGAGACAGGTATAAATTCAGTCACTGTCTAATTGATATATCATGAATTTGGTTTGTACTTTGAAAAAGTTGATTTGGCTATATGAAGGTAATGAAAGAACAACACAACATTACCGTGTCCTGCGAATTATGCCATTGAGCTCTCTGAATTTTCGAACAAATCGTACTAGTTCTATTCCAGAATGAACATCAAAAAATTAACTTTGACCTTTGACCGTGTAAGTGTCATGGTCAGCAGCAACATCACATTTTCCAACACCTTACTACAATTTATTTAATAAAACACTTCTTTTAGTAACTCGGGCAAACACCCCTATTCCTCAGAAACCAATCATATTATTGCTTTGGTCCCATGAGAACTTTTGTTCGAGAAGGTAAGAAACACAAATCGATTGAGACCCATTACCCATATGTTTTTTTGCCGAGTCCTCTCTTTAAGGATTGGTCCATCCAATACGAGTAATTTGATAACAATGCGAAATTCGAGTTTCTCCGTGAAAACCACGAAAGCCGTCCACTACAAAAATTTGTGGAGACAATACTACTCAAGACATCAAATTGGAACTTGTCAAACGAACAATGTGACATGTGCGCCCATGCAGAAATGATAAATTTCCGCTAATTGAAGGACCATTTCTGTGCCAGGCCAAGTACTCTTTAGTTTATTATCGTAACTCCGTCAAGTGGTCTGCAGCTGCAACAGGAAGCATGCATCCTAATTGCGAAGCTACCGTAATAACGAGATCGGAAGTGACGAGCTCCAGCGAGCAAATTGGAAATGAATTTTAAAGGTACCCCTCAACTCGACGGAATAGCTGTTGCTTACCGGTAGGTTTTTCATTTTTCTGTTTCGTCTGTCTGGATTATTTTCTTCGCGTATTTTCAAGTTTCGCAACGAGGTATGTTCCAAAGGTATCGTTTAAGTATGGTGGAAGTGTAAGCTGAAATTCTGGTGGGTGTGTGTAACCTCTCTTTTTTACACTGAAGCCTGAATTCCAAGGCACCTCAACCACTTTGAGAAGCTTGAAGAAAATTATTAGTCTGATTTTTGAACTGGCTAAGAACTGGGCAAGTCCTCCTCATGAATATTGTCCCACAGTCTTGATACCCCAGGGATAAGGGAGCAGTCGTACAGGTCACTTCTGGATGTACGAAGTTTTTCACGTTTAGGGTGGAAGGCTAAGGTCAGGCGGGTCTGTCTGGTAGGCACATCATGCTGCGGCATCATGGATGAGAGCTATAGGTAGCTATAGTCAACGCCAAACAAAGTGGCGTGCACGTCATCAAGGTGGGTGTGTTGAAAAATTTACATTGTTGCCAAACTTTTTGTAAAATAATAAAATTTATTATTTACATATCTAGGTTTATAAGCAATATTAACCTCAAATGAGAACAAAAATAATAGTATAATAAAATTATAGATCTGTACTTGCATAATCATTAAGTATGACAATTATTGATCAGATGACACTATGAAACTACCATATTTAATTGATAGCTTAAAGGTACTGAATAAAAATCCAAATGGGGTCCTCCAAATTTTATGCATGGTATTTATTTTACAGAATTCATACAGAAAAATGCATTCTAAAATTAGGTAAGCTACTGGTGTAAGCTTTTTCTGTACAATAAAGTTAGTCGGAGTTTCTTTCTTCAGCGCTGTCTGAATCTGAATCTTCATCACTCTCAAAGTTGATTATTAAAGGTTCGATGTCTGGTCGATCAAAAATTCGTTCTCTTTCATACCATTTAAAAATTTCTTGCTCAGTATGTCGAACACTATTTTTCCACATGTCTGGGGTAACCGTTTGTAGAGCCTCGTTCCACATATCCAAACAGTCTTTTTCACTGTTACCATCTCTACCAATATGTCTGTTATAGTAACCTTTTGCTATGCCCCAAATTAACTCAATAGGGTTAAATATACAATGGTAAGGAGGCAGACGAAGAACTTTGTGCCCATGTTGTTCCGCCAATTCATTAATCACGTATATTTTAGGTGGTTTGTTTCTAAAAAAGCAGTTATTTTAAGAATAGGAATAAACAAAAGAAATATAAACTGTCGACCAAAATATATATAATTAAGAAGCATTATGTACCGAGCAACAATACTCAATAGCTCTGTTTTAAACATTGTGTTTAAAAATGGTATGTTTTGATTTGTCAACCAGTCTTGGATATTTTTTTTTGTCCATGCATTGTTGGGCACTTTGTTCAATATCATGCTGTGATAAGGGGCGTTATCCAGTATAATCATAGATGGACTCTCCAATTTTTCTAATAACTGATGTTGAAACCATTTCAAAAAATTGTCCTGGTTCATCTCTCCATGGTAATCGCTCAATTTTGTTTTCGAAGAAAATATCGCTTCACTACCCTCAATAAACCCATTTTCATTTCCAGCATGTAATATAATGTATCTAAAATATATTAGTTTTAAATTTTATAGTGCAAATTGTGTAAAAGTACATACCTTTTACCATCTTTTTTAATAGCTTTCACGCTTTTTTGGTTTCCATTTTGCCAAGAGCGACCTATGGTCCCCTTTTGAAATATCCAAGTTTCATCGAGGAAGACAAACTGGTATAAGGCCTCAACCTTGGCTTGATTGTATTGCCTTAGAAATTCCACCCTTTTCAAAGCTATACTTGGTAGTTCCATGAGCCCTCGTCGCGGATTGTCCTTAAGCCACTTAAATCCAAGATCTCTAAGCAACCGCCTTAAAGACGTGGCACTACCATCAAATAATGCCCTATCTCTTAATCGAGACCATAAAGTTTGTATCGTAACTTGTTCTTCTGAAACCATGTGTAATATGACATTATAATTTAGTTAACAAATTAATGCAAATTTCTGATAAGTTATTATAATAAGATCTTACTTTTGTGATACATATTATAGATCACTTCTCGAATGGCACTTGTATCCAATGTCGCTGTGTTGGTTACACGTTTAATATAACTCCGCTTTTTCTTGGGCGATTCTAAATTTGCATCACTTTTCACACCCTCGGAAATACGACTAACTGTCCTTAAACTAATTTTTAAAGCAGCAGCAACACGCTACAAAAAATGAAATAAAATTTCACTATTATTAATATACATTACATATAATTATTAGTAACCTACCTCTTGAACAGCATTTAAAGGCAACAAAGGCCCGTTGTTGTCCCTTTCTTGCTCAAAGTAGTGCATTAACGAGGCCACGAGTTCCTTACACCGACTATTTAACTGTTTGGGCATCTTTATATACCAAAATTGACTTTATCTACTCGTAAAATGAATAATTTTGTTTTGAAACAAACAGTTGTTGATTTACAGTATGCGGGGCCAAAGGATTTATAAAGATTTGAAATGCCACAAATTGATTCAGTGTCAAAATTAATACAAATGTCAGTTCCCAGTTTAAATAAGTTTCAAGGTGACAATGTGTCAACGCTGCGAAATCGGTTGAGTGCGTTTACATGTCGATAAGTGATTGGAGCGTTTGCAAAACATTTTATTTCGCATAATGCGTCTAAATTTATCAGAAAGCAACTTATGTGATATTTTAATAACAATGTTTATATGACTATTAACCATAATAAGAGAGTAATGACCATTTTACAATTTATATATCACATTAATATGAAACTGCAATAGAGCAATTGTTTGTGATAGAAACCTAGGCATTAGGTCGGGGAATTTTTATCGTGATGACGTGCACGCCACTTTGTTTGGCGTTGACTTTTTTTTTATAAGCTCGTTGGCGGAGTGGCAGAAAAGAGCTAGGTCGCCGACGGCCTGCCGGTGCGAAAAGATCCCGAGACTTTCCATTAGCGAAGAGTCATCGATCAGTCGGACAGACTTTTTTTTAATACTATAATCCAACAACATCGAGCATAGATATTGTCGCCGGGGCGGCAGAACTTAAAACATGTGATCAGTACTCAAGGCTGTTCCACATCTGGGCCTTGTACAGAGTGAGGAGGTCATGTGAAGAAAAGTACTCCTTGGCCCTAAATAAATAGCCTAGCTTTTCCCAGCAACTGCCGCTATTGACGAGATACAGTGCTGTGCTTTGGAAGCATTAAACTGTAAAAGATTGCTGCATCCTCAAGCAGTGATAACCTCCAGGTCTCTAGTCAGAGAGGTAGTCACTGCTAGTCTTCTTTTCTCTGAATTCCTGCATGTAGAGTGCTGTGAACAGCAAAGCTGTGATCAGGAAAGGAGGTCGTTGATATGTAAGGAGAACAATGTCGGATCCAAGACCGATCCCTGGAGAAAACCCACGATGACATTGTGAGATGAAGAAGCGAACCCGTGAATTACGACGGATATCTTGCGGCAAGAGATAAAGTCAGTCACATATCTGAAGAGATTCTCTCAGGCTGTAGGATGCACGTTTGCATAAGATGGCGGCATGCCACGCATTAAAAAATTGCGTCAAGTTGATGGACTGTATATTCTCCACGCGTTTGTTCAAATTCGCAAATTTCAAAGCGAAACTTGAAGGCTTAAGTACGGATGCATCGTAAACCTCTACTTCTCAAACTATGTGAAATAAATCTATCATTTTTTTCTGTTTCAATTGTTGATGTATTGAAAATATGTGTGATATTAACAGAACGTTTTTCACTGGTGCCAAAAACAAAACATTTGCAACCATTCAGCCTCTATAACTGCAAACCCCAATTTTCTACCATTTCATGAAATTTCTGAACATGAAATACGATGTTTCGTCGATTTTTATTGGTTTTCCGTAGTTCTGCCGTCACTGATTCAAATTTCAAAATCAGTAAGCTCTTTCGTACTCAGCATGGTAGTCATCTGATGCCAAGATATCATCAAAGGTGTACTTTCTGAGTTATAAAGAGGCTAAAGATTAAGGAACATACAACAGACAGGCAGGCCATAGTCACTCTCTCATTCAGGTAGTATTCACGTGTCTCGCTACTACCCGGTGCGTGTAATCAATGGATATGGATGTAGGAGAAGCACAAACTATATTTACTTGACTCCATAAATGATGGCAGTATCGCAATTACGAAAAGATTCGAACTTCATTTACCACTTTTTTTATTGTTCAGACATCTCAATGACACAAATCGATATCATTCATTTCTGTATCGGCAAGTTTTTGGGTGAACTCACTGAGCGAAAACGTACAGGGGTTGTTTTTTATTATTGATCTAGACTCCGAACAACCGAAATATGCGCCTCTTTGATAGAACTCGCCCACCTATCGAAACCGGATGAGCGTTAGGGCGTTTCTTGTTAATAAAGTTATAGTACTACATTTTGGAAGCATTAAACTGTACCACATTTTGCATCCCCAAGCACTGATAGCCTACAGATCTCTCGTCAGAGAGAAAGTCGTTGTTAGTCTTCTTCTCTCCAGCTCATCAGCAAAGATCGGCGACAAAGTTTTCAAGAAGCAAAGACCTCATCTAAGCTGTCCTAATAAATAGCTCAGGGAATTTAGGTTCATAATTTCGTCGTGGCACATGTTGTCGAGCTGCGCAAGGTATGCGAGAATAATTTTATAGTGAGTACTAAAGCAACTAAGTGCAATATTTGAGCATCTAAATTCCACACTTCTTGTGTCTCAGTCTAAGACAGCTGGACAAAAATACTATCAGAATGTAAAAGTCTGCTATGGGTCTGTAATGACTGCCGTTGCTTCCTATATAAAGAATGTGATTCATCTAAAACTGAGACTAGTATCTTACGAAAAGAAGTTGAATGTCTAAGTAGCGAACTGAAGCATACATAGCGATTGATGTCAGAACTCGATAGCTCCAGTGAACTACAGAAAACCATACTGAAGTCTTACGAAAATAATGCTAGTACACCAAAAATTGCATCTCAACCAGGTCCAAGCACACTTAGCGATATTTTAAGGATACCACCTATGGTAAGTTTATCTGCTGATTAAGGCAGGTCCAGTGGAAAATGCAGATAGCAAGAATATTTTTCAAGAAATCTTCTGTTAACCCAGCTGATTTGAATGTCTATATCAACCCCACTAAACGGATAAAGAATGATTTAGCAGTTTACTGCAAAGTCAGTATGCTCAAAACCAGTCTCAATAATAAACTTGGATCAAAGTATTCCATCACTCAAGCCAGAAAAACTGAGTCCTCGAACGCTTATAAAAAATGTAGACTTGGAGGACTTAAATACGCCTGAGGACATAGTTGGACAATATTATTTCCTTAAATAGTTTCACGAACATTGAACAGACTGACATAAAATTTGTGACGAAGCTGAAACACTTCAACAGCACGAACCTAGTCATTGATTATATATCACATCAAACCTGTCAAGTTATTTTGGAATTCTAAAGCAAGAACAATAATTTTCACTGTTCCTTCCCGATCCCTTCCTGTTACTCGATTTTCCGGATCATTGATTTGATATTATCAAATCGCGTAAGAGTTTCTCATGTATCCATTATCTGCCCATCTATCATCAACTTGAACAAGGTATTGGGAAAACGGAAAATAAGTAAATTTAAATTAGCTTAGGCAATGTTGTTATACAGTTTCACGAAAATATAAGATAATAAAGATCTCGAGAAATACAGCCCAAGATCTCTCCATGGCAACGT